TGCATGGAAATGCAAAAGAAAACAAAATCGGTTTAGCTAAAAGACAACCTAGTAACTTCAGCCATTAAGAAAGAGACATGTGTCCTCCCAAACCCTAGGCTAGGCTCCTCAGCCGTCACCATCATATCTGTTGTGTATATGTGTGTGTGGAGGTGATAATCCATATATATAAGAACTATGCTGCAAATGTAACTATTCTCAGATTTCAATGAAAAAGAAAAATTATGGATCCATTTACTATGTTTCTTTCAGCTCAATGTCACTGTTACTTTCTCTTTATGGTATCAGAGCATAGGCTCTGATTACCCCTAGTTTTGGCTCGCATTTAATACGTTCACATGGCTTTACCTGCTCCAGCATGTGAACATGTTATACAGCTGCAAAACCAGCTCATTACAACCAAGCTTAATGAAGGAAATTTCTTAATATGGCAGCAACAGATCCTGACCACCATCAGAGGCTATGATTTGTTTGGATATCTGAATGGAGAAACACCACCTCCTGACAAGCTAGCCCGAGATCCAGACACCAATGAGCTCACAGTCAACAGATCTTACTTGACCTGGGTTAAGCAAGACCAGCTCATAGCTTTATGGCTCCTTTCCTCTCTCTCAGAATCAATCTTAGTCACTACAGTGGGTCTAAACACAGCTAAGGAGATCTGGGACTGTCTCAACAAAAGTTTTTCTAGCCACAGCTTAGCAAAGCAGATGCAGCTCAAGCTCGAGCTTCAAACCCTAAGAAAGGGAAATCTGAAAGTAAGGGAGTATTTCAACAAAGTTAAAGGAATTTGTGATATGTTGGCTGCTGCTGGGCAAAAGATTGAAGAAAATGATCAAGTTCTACACCTACTCTCAGGTCTTGGACGAGAATATAATCCAGTGGTAGTGAACTTAACCTCAAGAACAGAAAGATGTTCTATGATGGAGGCATACTCCATCTTGCTCAGTTTTGAAAGCAGGCTGGAAAGTTTTGAGAAAGTTACTGATACAGAAGGCTCATATCTTGCAGCAAACCTAGCCACTCATACTCAATCTAGAGGAAGAGGTTTTAGTGGAAATAGAGGAAGGTCAGGAAATCAATTCAACAATTTTAGAGGCAGAAGTTCAGGGAGAGCAGGACCATTTAGAGGTAGAGGTGGAAGATCTTACTCAAATCAAAACAGACCGAGATGCCAAATCTGCAATTATAATAATCACACAGCAAAAGAGTGCTATTTCAGATTTGATCCAAACTTTATTTCCAGAGATACAAATCACTCTTCTCCTAATGCACCTTCAAGTGCTGTGACTGATCCCTCAGCTCATGTAGCTAGTTTTGGTTCTCAAGCCAGTGAGACTTCTCAAGATTATTATTGGTTTCCTGATTCTGGAGCAACACATCACCTCACAAATGATTTCCAGAATTTGAATGTGGCTACTGATTATCAAGGCAGTGAGAGAGTTCAAACAGCAAATGGTTCAGGTATGAGTATAGCTCACCTTGGTAATTCTGTGGTAAAATGCCCTTCATCAGCTAATTCTCACATATTTTTTCTTAATCATCTCATGCATGTCCCTCAAATCACTAAGAATCTCCTTAGTGTTTCACAATTTGCCAAAGACAATTCAGTCTTTTTTGAGTTTCACCCCACTTTATGTTTTGTGAAGGATCTCAAGAACGGTGCCCTCCTACTCCAAGGCACACTTAAGGATGGTCTCTATTGCTTCAAGCTTGTTAACACTCACCAAACTCCTTCCTGTCATTTGTCTTTTGTTCCACCATCATGTTTTCAGACAGTTTCTAGTTCAAATAAATCAAACAATGTTGTTTCTTTGGATATTTGGCACCAACGTTTTGGTCATGCTTCTTATGATGTTATTAAAACAACTTTAAATAGCTGCAATGTTCACTTTCATGGCAGTAAAATTAACTCTTTATGTGATGTGTGCATGCAGTCTAAGTTTCATAAACTTCCATTTCATGATTCTGATTTTAAGGATTGTAAACCTTTTGATCTTGTCCACTCTGATTTGTGGGGTCCATCTCCTGTCATTTCTCACAAAGGTTTTAGATACTATGTTAGTTTTATTGATCACAGTTCCAGGTTTGTATGGTTTTATTTGCTTAAGTCCAAATCTGATACAAAGTCTGCCTTCCTTCATTTTTCTGCCTTAGTGCAAAATCAGTTTAATACCACAGTTAAAACTTTCCAATGTGATGGAGGAGGTGAGTTTCAGGCTCTTAAATCCATTTTTTCTCAGCAAGGAATTCTTTCAAAGATATCTTGTCCCTACACCCCAGAACAAAACGGTCTTGCAGAAAGGAAACACAGACACATTGTCCAAGTTGGTCTCTCTTTGCTTTTTCAATCTCACCTTCCCTTCTCTTACTGGGATGAAGCATTTTCCAGTGGCACTTACCTCATCAACCGCACTCCCACAAAACTTCTGCATCATATATCTCCATTTGAAGCTTTACATAATCACAAACCTTCATATAATCACTTCAGGTCCTTTGGTTGCCTATGTTATCCTCTACTCAAACCATATAACAAACATAAGTTGCAACCTAGAAGCCTACCTTCAGTTTTCCTGGGATATAGTCCCTCTCATAAGGGCTATAAAGTTCTTCTCCCAGACAAAAGAATAGTTATTTCCAGGCATGTTCTATTTGATGAACTCATTTTCCCATTTTCCAAATCACCAGCAACCACATTCCCAACCACATCTCATGTTCCTTTACCTTCTCATTCCATTCATACTCAACTTCCCATCCTCACTCCTCCAAACAATGCTCCCCCAACTTCTTCATCTCAAAATACACATTTTTCACAGTCTCCTATCCATTCCAATCAGTTCACACCATCCCAGTCTCCACCTCATTCTCATAGTTCATCTCATCATTCTCCCGCACATGGTGCTCAATCATCTCCTCATAGTTCCTCTACTATACCTATTGGGCAAATTATCATAGATTTACCTGTGGAACAGCATACTTCTACTAACACTAATGCTGCAGGAGCTCACCCTATGGTTACAAGATCAAAGGCTGGCATTTTTAAACCAAAGGTCTTAACCACTCAGGTCACTACCTCTTCAACTTCAGTTGAACCATCTAATGTTCAAGAGGCCTTATTGTCACCTACATGGAAAAATGCAATGCAGAAGGAGTATGATGTATTAATCAAGAATAACACTTGGACATTAGTTGCACCTCCACCTCATCAGAATATTGTTGGCAGTAAGTGGGTTTTCAAATTAAAAACCAATCCTGATGGTAGTATTGCTAGACACAAAGCCAGATTAGTGGCTAGGGGTTTCAGTCAAGATCCTGGCATAGATTATTCTGAGACTTTTAGCTCAGTAGTCAAACCAACAACAATCAGAGTAATCCTTTCAATTGCTGTTTCTCTCAATTGAGCTCTTCACCAGATTGATATTGATAATGCATTTCTTAATGGAGACTTGGACAAAGACATTTATATGTCTCAACCTCAGGGTTTTGAGGTTGATCATCATCTTGGTTTTGTTTGCAAACTAAACAAGTCCCTTTATGGTCTCAAACAAGCTTCTAGAGCTTGGTCCACCAAGTTCAGTTCCACTCTTATTTCTCTTGGTTTCAAAACATCCAAAGCTGATACTTCTCTTTTTTACAAACACAGCAATGGTTCTTCTACCTTTATCCTTGCTTATGTGGATGATATCATCCTCACTGGCAGTGATCCCACTCTTATTCAGTCCACAGTACAGGCTCTCTCTTCTTTTTTCTCTCTGAAAGATCTTGGTCCCTTGAATTATTTTTTAGGCATTCAAGTCTCTTCTACATCAGATGGCCTTTTTCTTGATCAATCCAAATATATTGATGATATCCTTGACAGAGCTGGAATGAAGGGGGCCAAATCTCTCAGCACACCTATGGTTAGTCATCCACCTCTGTCTAAAACAGATGGTCAGCCCTTTAGCAATGGACAGTTTTATAGGCAAATTGTGGGTGCTTTGCAGCATGTGACTCTTACAAGGCCTGATGTTGCCTTCAATATTAATAAGGTGTGTCAGTTCATGCATAATCCTCTTGATAAGCATTGGAAGGCAGTGAAAAGGATACTCAGGTATCTAGCAGGAACAAGAGATTATGGCTTGAAGTTAAACAAGTGCAAAGATTTCAGATTAACTGGGTTTTCAGATGCAGACTGGGGCTCAGATGTTGATGATAGGAGATCCACTACCGGTTTGTGTGTTTATTTAGGTGGAAATCTGATTTCTTGGGGTTCCAAGAAACAAGGAATGGTTTCAAGGTCAACCACAGAAGCTGAATATAGAAGTGCAGCTCAAATAACTTGTGAAATGATATGGCTGCACTCATTGTTGGATGAATTGAAGATTAAGTCTCAAAGACCAAGCATTGTTTGGGTTGATAACAGAGGGGCAGTGTGTTTGGCAAACAATCCGGTGAATCATTCAAGAACCAAGCATTTGGAATTGGATTTACATTTTATAAGAGAGAAAGTTGAAGACAAAGTAATCACTGTTCAACACCTTCCTTCAACTGAGCAGATTGCTGACATATTCACAAAAGCTTTAACTGGACAATTCTTTGCATGGCTAAGAAACAAGCTGAAGATCACTTCAAGAGCATGCATAGAATTGAAGGGGGCTATTGGAACCACTCCTCAGTCAAGCCACATAATATCTGACGTGGAAAAGGACATCATGCATGGAAATGCAAAAGAAAACAAAATCGGTTTAGCTAAAAGACAACCTAGTAACTTCAGCCATTAAGAAAGAGACATGTGTCCTCCCAAACTCTAGGCTAGGCTCCTCAGCCGTCACCATCATATCTGTTGTGTATATGTGTGTGTGGAGGTGATAATCCATATATATAAGAACTATGCTGCAAATGTAA